ATTAGTCAATCTGAAAGTAATATTAACTTTCTATGAGTCCCAAACTACCTAATTTTAGCCTGCCTCAAGTGGAAGTTGACACTATCCCCACTCAACTTCCCTAGTTCTTCTTCAATTTCTTCCCTAGAGTGGGAAGAAGGAAAACAGGATGGACCTAAAGGATGACAGCTATGTCCATGGTCTGATCAGAATGTTGTGGGCACAATCCCCTCAATACTGCTCTCCACACACCTAATCATCATAGAGATTGGGCAATACCCAGGAGCAACACAGGTAAAAACCCTTAGAACCAAGTCACTTTGAGGCAGGTTAGAATTAAGGAAAGTTTGGGACTGAGACCTCTCTCTGACTCATCTTAAGAGCTCCACTTTAATTACAATAAGTTAGAAAGAATGAGAACTTGCTCCCTCATGGGTGGGGCACCTGAGAATTAATGAAGGTGCATGTGGGAATCCACCTAGCTCCTCCCTTGGCTCAAAGGCCAATGGAGCCAGGTAATAACAGGTAATCTTTCCCCACCTTCAAGCTTAAGGTGGTATAAAAATGACCTAAAAGAAGCCATGTCCATTCTTTTTTCTTTTTACTCTGATGCAGACCCTCTTCTTACCCAGTAGAGTGGGTAATCCCTTTCCCTATAAACAAAACTCTTCATTTTTACTATAGTCACATGTCCTGCTTAGATTCTTCCACACTGGAGCTCAAGGACCAAGATCTTCTGGAAGACACTTTCTGCTGGTAACAACTTCATTGGCAACCTGTTCCCAACCTCTCCCTTTCATACATGGATGCTTTTTCCTTTCTCTTAAGTTTCTTCCCTGTATTCTCATCCTCCATTATCCATGGACTTCCTTCTTCAAGTTTGTGAGACAAAGAATTCAGGATAAATCTGGAACCCTCTGCTGCTGAGCTACAAGAGCTGTGACATAGCCAGTACAATACACCCTGATCTCACAAGAGGATTCTGGTTTCAATATCATCTATAGCTCTGAAAATCCCCTGGAATCTAGTTGCTGTTCTTTTGTGGTACTGGGGTTTGAACTCAGGTCTTCATGCTTGCTAGGCAGGCACTCTACCACTTGAGCCACTCCACCAGCCCTGCTTTGTGTTGGGTATTTTTGAGATAGGGTCTTACAAACTATTTGCCCAGGACTGGCCTCAAACCACAATCCTACTGATATTTGCCTCCTGAGTAGCTAGGATTACAGGTGTGAGCCACTGTTGCCTGGCTCTGGTTGCTGTTCTAAATCATGTGCAGTTTGAGTATGCACATGACCTGACTTGACAAATAAATGTGTGTTTTAAAAAAGAACAAGCAAACAAACAAAGTAAAACAAAACTATGAGGACAGTAAAAAGATCAGGGGTCCGCAGGAAGGATGAATAGTCACAAAGAGGTTTGGGGACAATGAAATCTTTTTATGTGACACTGTAATGGTGGATATATGTCACAATACATTTATCCAATGTACAACACCAAGAGTGGACCTTAATGAAAACTGTGAACTCTGGCTGGTGGCTCACACCTGTAATCCTACCTATTCAGGATGCAGAGATCAGGAGGATTGCTGTTTAAGGCCAGCTCAGGCAAATAGCTCTTGAGACCCTATCTCAAAAATACCCAACATAAAAAATAGCGGATGGAGTGGCTCAATTGGCAGAGTGCCTGTCTAGCAAATTTGTTAAGTAGTAATTAGCCATGAGAGTGAATGGATGAGGCAGGATAGATAGATAAGGATATATGGAAATTATATTATTTTAACAAATATTTAAAGGACCAGACTCAGACATTAAAAAAAGGAATTAAAACCCAAAATGCCAGAACAGTTAGCCAACCCCATCTTTTAGATGCTTAAGTTACAAGAATAAGGCTATCTGCATTCCAGGGCTATCTGAATCTGAGTTGCTAACACACTCCTAGGCTACTTGGATGGGTGGAGAATATCACATCTAGCAAATCAAAGTTCTACAGCACACCTTTTGTCCTTGTGATTTGGGAGGGCCTGGATGATACCTCCTTGTTTTAGCACTGATCTTAGTCACCTAGATCCATTACCTTTGTGTATTTTCCCCAGCTCTCCAAAAGTATAAGACTAAGAGATGGGTGCCAACATTTTGAGTCTTTACTCCCATTTCATGCTTGGAGAAAAGGAAATGTTTCTGTCTTTTTTGGCCCACTTCTCCCCACTCTTATCCTGCTCTACTAAATTCCTTTCCTAATAAACGTTACTGTTAAGGTGAACATAAGGCAGCAACATTATCACCAGATACTCTCTGAGTCAGCTAAAATAAGCAAAAGTTTGGGACTCATAGAAACTTAATATTGACCATGCTCTGGCCCAGGAACCCCTATGCCCTTCCTTGCTCATTGATTATTGGATAGAAATCACCTGGTTCCTCCTTTTCCATAGATTAGCATAAGTTTTAAAAGAACCTGGGGAAGAGAAGCATGCTCTCTCTGCTTCCAGATTCCATCTGCATCCACCATGCTACCTTTGCATTTCCCTTCCCTAATTTTAAATAAACTCCATTTATACCCAAGTGTCCTGCCATGGATTCTTCAACACAGGACAAAGAATTTGGAAGTCTTCTGATGATGGACTCCATGTGCCCTCAACACATCCCCCCCACCACAGGTGGATTACCGGAAACTCTCCACCTTGCCCTAAAGAATAACAAATAACCACCTTTAGTTATTTCCTATTATTTTTACTATATTTTTGGTTCTTGTTTGAATTCTTCTCTTGCGGGATGCAAGAACTGAGCTCAATGCTAAAACTTTCTGGTAACAGTGTGAGACCCTGAGTTCAAACCTCAGTACTGCCAAAACAAACAAATAAATAAAACAAACAAGCAACTGTGAACTTGGGCAATAATGATGTTAGTCCAGATTCAACAGTAATAATGTGAAATCTGGGTTTTCACTCCTGGGCGTCCACATGTCAGGTCCATCTACTCACCACTCACTCCTATATGCCAAATAAAAAAGCATGGTGAAAAGAGATTTATTACATGGCCTACACATGCAGTGCTTACATACTGGCAAAGTAAGCACTCAGTCCACCTTTAGCCATCTTCAAGGTACAGACATGAGCTGTAGCTTTAAATAGACAAAGAGTTGGAGCAGAAGATGAAAAGATGTGCAGAGTTAAACAGTCTCAGTTACAGGTATGTTCAATTCCAGTGGGAACTCATTGACCATTATCTCAACCCTTGTTCTTCTAGGGTTTCAGAGAAGTTATTCTTGCTGTCTGTCATCACTTGAGGGGAGCAATCTGGCTCTCATGAGATGATTACTCCTGCTCTAGGGTGAAGCTTCATCATTACAGGTAATTGTCCTTATTTAGAGTGGTTGTCTGCCTGCAGTCTCTGCTGTTCCTTAGGGGTAGTTTCAGTCCCCTGTCATGTTATTGATCTTAATGTCCTTCCATGATTCTAAGGTTGCTGCAGGACAGAATGGCTCAGAGCAAAGCACAATAGGTAAAAATGGAGACAGAGATGCCAAGTTTTCTGTTTTTAGTTAATTTGTGGGACCAAGTAAGGAGTTAGTGCTTTTCAGCAAAACAGTTTAAACACGTCTTACAAATGTACCACTTTGGTGGACAATGTTGAGAATAAGGGAGGTTAGGCATCTATAGAAGCAAGGAGTGTATGAGAAAAATCTATGTTCTTTCCTATTCATTTTGTTTTGATTCTAAAACTGTTCTAAAAAATGCTACTTTTTTTTTTTCAGTATTGGGATTTTGAACTCAGGGCTTTTGTGCTTGCAAGGCAAGCAATCTGCCACTCCCTTTTGTGCTTTAAGTTATTTTTCAGATAGGGTCTCCCTTTTTCCCTGGGACCAAAATCCTTCTACTTATGTCTCTTGTGTAGCTAGGATTATAGGCATGATCCACTGAGCCTGGCCAAAGACGAAGTCTTAAAAAATAACTGAAAGAACACACAGCAAAATAACAATAAATATGCACTAACGTCCTTAGCATGAAAGAACAAAGACCTATGGTTTTCTTTAATCTATTCTCCAACATGAATATGAGCATCCTTGATTACAAAGATTATTGGATAATCCAACAAACATGAAACTTCAAAAGTTAGAGGACTGAGATACTGAAATAGATTGGAGACTGAGATAAAGTACCAGAAGGCAAATGATAATCCCTTGGAAGTAGATACAGCATGACAACAGTGGATTGTTTGATTTCAGTGTAGGATAAGATCCAATGACCTAGCAGGTATTGACACTGGCTAATAAATGCCTTCTCCAGTCAAGTGCCAACCTTCATTTCTGTGCTCTAGGGACTGTTACTGGAAAATCTAGTACTGGTATCAACCTTGGTTCTTTCTTCTGATGAGAGAATAATTCAGGTAAGATAAGAAAATGTAGTAAGAGTAATAGTAAATTTTATTAGAAAAGGAGTATACTTTCACTCTGTTAGGTCAACAAGGAGGGAAACGCCGAATCGGAGCCAAATAACAAAGAAGCAGGCTTTAAGCAGACTTTATTGAGAATGTGCTCTTGGGCGAGGTTCTCTGTCCCCAAAGAACAGGGCTGGAGAAATCGTGCCCGAGAAATGGCAGCCTAGTTTTTATAACCTGGGTGAAGTCAAGAGCTTTGGGTACCATGGAGTGTCAGGATAGGTTGAAGCCTATTAAGGGGAGGGGGCTCAGGGTAATGTGGACCTATCAGATAGGTCAGAACCTACCACCTGCAGGAGCTGCCGTGGCAACCATAGGAGGAGGAGGGGAGAGGATGGTGATTGCCCGCGGCAGGAGTTGCCAGCGGGAGTTGCTATGGTAACCAGAGGGGGAAGAGAAAAGGGGGAGGGTGAAGTGGAAAGTCCCTGATCACCATGCGATGGCTGTCCATTGGCCAAACATCCCAGACTCTTTGGTATAAGGGGCACAGAATTGGTTCTGGCTACTTCCTGCTGAAGGGGGGCAAAGTCAGGGGCTAGGGATGTCTTGGGCTGCTTGGCGGGTGTAAGCAGGCTGGTAGTCATGGGCCTAGAGCAACATTTGGTTGAAGGTTACCTGCATTAACTGGTGGAGGTGGTCTTGGAAAAATCGAAAGAAAAAGGGTGCCAGGAGCAGAAAGAGGCAAATGATCACCAGGGGACCTATCAGTGGGGTGAGAATGTTAAACAGGGCTGGATTCCACCAGCCAGGAGTGCCAGTCGAGGCAGCATTGTAGTGGCACATCTCATTGCTGAGCCTGTGAAGAGACTGGACACAAGTTTCCACCAGGCCTGACTCATTAATATAGTAGCAGCATTCTTCCCAAAGAAAGAGGCAAGTTCCCCCTGTGTCCGCTGTGAGTAGGTCCAACGCGCGGTGGTTCTGTAGAGCTACCTGAGCTAGGGAAGTTATCTGTCTTTGAAGAGAGGCAAGGGATGCTGCTGAGTCTTCAAAGCCTGTCAGCATTGGTTGAGAGAGCCTTTGGGCCTGAATTACTGAGTGAGCCAGGGCACCAGGGCTGAGACTGGTAGCTGCCACTGAGGCTGCCAAAGATTTGCCCACAAGGACAGGCAGGAAGACAGCCATCCTAGTCTTATGTTGAGGTGAGGGCTGGGCTCCTGATGTAAGGTGTATGAGATGAAAGAATTCTCCTCTTTCATACATGGTAAGCTGGGGAACCATAGATACAGGTAAACAGAGCTGGGAAGTTAGGGCCTGTTGGGTGAGGTTTTTTGAAAGTGTGCCATTACACCAAAAGAAGCCTCCTGGAGGGGCCCAGAGGGAGCCCAATATGGTAGAATTAGTGGTGTTGCATATTTTGCCAGGATCAGAGTAGCAGAAGGGTAACTGTTGGGATAGAGGATCTCGATATGAAAGGGCTCCTGCAAGCAGGGTGAGCAGAGGCATGGAGGCTGACTCGTTTGATGGGAATGGCCCAGGTAAGGGAACAGCTATGAGTGGGGGCCTGGACAAGGTGGCACAGAGGAAGCATTTAGTTACATTGTCCAGACCTGACCTATTTAACAAGTTGGCACCTTCCTGCACCAGGGACAGCCAGGAAATAGGGTCCCTCTGGGTTTTGTTCTGAAGGCTGTTTTCTGCCTCCTTGATGGCCTTTGTCTGATCCTCTAGTACTCCAAAGATCACAGGGACCACTCGCTCATACTCCCTCCAGATCTTGAAGGTTGTTGACGGGCATGAGGAGGCCCCATGTGCATATCCCTTGGCTATTACCCTGGTCACCCATCTATCATGCCAGGGGTCAGGAATGTTGAGGTGGAATTTGGAGTCATCATAGTAGACCTCTAGCTTGTTGCCTGGGGAAGACACAGCTTTCTTTATAATCCAATGAATTTTGCACTGCCAGTATGGGCAACCTCTGTATTCCTCAGCCCATTTAGCCCCTTCTTTACAGTATGATCTGGTCTGATCAAACAAAAAACACAAAAAAGGGGCATTACCACAAAAACCTTATTCAGGCATGAGGTTGTAAAATTGAGGGTGAGGGGTCTGCTACATCCCATAGGGGGGCAGTCTCTGGAGCCAATGAGGTGGGTGGTCACCACATTGCCCCTTTTGTATGGCTCTTGGATCTTGAATCTCCAGTGGTAAGGAGAAGGTGGTTCAGACAGGGTTGGGGGAAGGGCTAGGATTAGCATTAAGAGTGTCCCCAACCCAGGAGATCTGAAGGGAAGTGGGCCCCATCTGTGTAACCTGCCAGGTTTTGGTAGAAGTGGTGGATGGGAGCTTTTTAAGGTGGGTGAGGTGGTACCAGGAAGGGTGTCCCAGGAGCTTTGCTGCCAAGGGAGTGGTGAGGATGACAGTGTATGGTCCCGTCCATCTGGGTTGGAGGGGCCTCAGATGTAACTGCTTGAGAAGAACACAGTCACCTGGAGACAGGGGGCCATGGTCTGGCGGAACAGCATCTGACTGAGGTAGGTAGTGATATGTGTGGGCCTGGAGCAGGGAACAGAGGAGAGTGAGGTAAGGTAGGTATCCTGTTAAGGGAGGTGTACTTGATGGGAAAGCATAGGAAAGGAGAAAGGGGCAGCCATACAACAGCTCAAAGGGGCTTAAGCCTGTTGGCTGCCTAGGGGCCTCTCAGAGGCAGGTGAGGACCAGGGGCAGCAGGTCAATCCAGGAGAGCCGGAGCTCCAGGGATAGCTTGGTGAGCTGCTGTTTGATCAGGCCATTGTCCCGTTCAACCTTACCCATGGATTGGGGGTGGTATGGGATGTGGACCTTCCAAGTAATGGCTAGGTGTTCACAGACCAGTTGGGTGACCCTGGAGATGAAGGCAGGGCCATTGTCCAACTGGAGACTTTGTGGAAGACCGAAACAGGGAATGATGTGACAGACAAGAGTGTTGGGTACAATTGCAGCCCCTTCTGTGCCATAGGTATGGCTTCGATCCACCCTGTGAGAGTATCAACAAAAGTAAGAAGATATTGGAATTTTTTGTGTTTAGGCATATGAGTGAAGTCTATCTGCCAGTCTTCACCAGGCTGGCTGCCACGGAGTTGGTGGAGGGACTGGCAGAGATGGAGTCTGCCCTGGGTGTTTGCTTGGGAGCAGACAGAACAAGCCTCCTGGACTTGACAGATGGTGAATTGGAGGCCCCTAAGGTGGAATAAGTGTTCCAGGAAAGAGAAAAGGGCTTTGGGGCTTATGTGTAGTGAGTTGTGGATGGCAGTGATAACCTCTGTTGCCTGACCCGAGGGGAGGATCAGACGGTTGTCTTTGAAGATGTAATTCTCCCTTCTTTGAGAAGAGCAGTTTTTTCTTCCAGCTCATAGTTTGGAGTTAAGCCAGGAGAGAGGAAGAGAATAGGTGGGGAGGTCGACTGATCCACCATCTTTCGGGCCGTTAGGTCCACAAAGGAGCTTCCTCGTGCCACCAGATCATTGGAGGTCTGGTGCCCCCTGCAGTGGATGATGGCGACCTCCCTTGGAAGTTGTAGAGCTCATAACAGTTTGGCAATGAGGGGTCCATTGACAACCAGAGTACCCCGTGTGGTCAAGAAGCCCCTCTCTTTCCAGATGGCTGCATGAGAGTGTGCTATAAGGAAAGCATATTTAGAGTCAGTATATATATTAGTTGTTATCTTTGGCAATGGTGAGTGCCTGAGTGAGTGCCATGAGTTCGGCTTTTTGAGATGTTGTTCCCATGGGGAGGCAAGCTGCTGCCAATACCTGAGGAGGATCAATGGTGACTACAGCGTAGGTGGCTCAGCGGCCTCCCTTGTCATCCAGGATGGAGCTCCCATCCACAAACATAGTGAGGTCAGGAGAAGTTAAGGGAGAATCAGTAAGGCCCTGCCTGGGAGTCATGAGACTCTCTACTATTTCAGGGCAGGAATGAGTTGGTTTTTAGGCTATTGGAGAGTGGTAGGAAGTAGTATAGTGGGGTTGAGCAGGGAGCAGGTAGTGAGAGTTATGTAAGGATTGTTGATGAACAGGAGATGGAACATCTGTAAATGGGAAGCTCCAATAAGAGAAAGAGAGGAATGAGTGAGAAGGTCAACAAGTCTATGTGGGGAGTAGACAGTTATCAGCTGCAGTTGGGACAGCTTAAGAGCTTCCCTGGTGAGGGTGGCCACTGCCGCAAGAGCTCAGAGGCATAGCTGCCAGCCCCTGACAGTGGGATCCAGCTGCCTGGAGAGGTAAGCAATTGGCCAGTGAATAGGGCCTGATAGTTGGGTAAGGACCCCTTTGGTTATTCCAGAGTCTCATCTGTAAATAGGTGGTATGGTTTGGAAAGGTTTGGGAAGGCCAAGGCTGGGGCCTGAAGGAGGGTGTCACTGAGAGAAGAAAAGCAGCAATGGACTGCAGAAGGAGAGGTAAGTGGACGAGTGGGAGTCTCCTTGGCTGCCTGGTACAGTGGGCAGGCCAATAAGGCAAAATTGGGAATCCAGTGTCAAAAAAAACCAATGAAGCCCAAGAAGGACAAAATTTCCTGGGCATCATTAGGAGGAGGGAGGTCCCTTAAAATTTGAACCCGGTCCATGGTAAGTGCTTTTGGGGTGAGGGCGAGACAGAAACCCAGGAAAGTAACAGCTTGTAAACAGAGATGGGCCTTGGCTGGGGAGACCCGGTATCCCTTAAAGGCTAAGAAGTTAAGGAGGTTGGCTGTTGCCATTTCAGAGTCCTGTTGAGAGGGGGAGCACAGGAGGAGGTCATCGACATATAGTAGTAGCGTACTGGGTTTTGTGTCACATATGACCAGATCACAGGCTAGAGCCTGACCAAAGAGGTAGGGACTATCACAGAAGCCTTGGGGAAGAACTGTCCAAGTTAGTTGCTGGGTGAGGTGAGTATCTGGGTCTTTCCAGGTAAAGGCAAAGAGGAAATAGGAGTCCGGATGGAGGGGGATAGTAAAAAAGGCATCCTTGAGATCGAGGACAGAAAAATGAGTAGTGTTAGGAGGGATGTTGGAGAGGATTGTATAAGGATTTGGGATCAAAGGATGGATGGGGATAACAGCCTCATTTATAATGCGTAAATCCTGGACTAATCTATAGGACCCAGAGGGCTTCCTTATTGGAAAGATAGGTGTGTTACATGGGGAATTTATAGATATAAGGAGATCTTGATTTAAGAGTTTGGTAATTATTGGTTTTATGCCTTTGTGATAAGTTTCCAAAATAGGGAATTGGGGTCTGCAGGGGTATTGGTTAGGGTCCTTAAGAGAAATGCGGATGGGTGGGTGGTGTGTAGTCACAACCGGGATTGAGGTGTCCCAGACAATGGGGTTGGCAGGAAGGGGTTGGGTGGGCAGAGCAGAACTAGGTGGAGAGGGGGGGCAAGATGGCTAGCAGAAGCCAGAAGGAGTGAGTGAGAGGCAGGAGGCTTTGGCAGGTGGGGAAGGATAGCCATGGAAGCGCCAAGTTTTTGGAGACTGTCTTAACCTAGAAGTGGGACAGGGCAGGAATTGATGATGAGGAAAGAATGTGTAAATGTTATACCTCCAGCAGAGCAAGGAAGAGGCAGAGTTTTGTGTGGGTAAGAGAGAGCTGTCAATTCCCATAACAGAGACCAGTGAAGGAACTGTTAGACCTGAGTGGGCAGGCAGCACAGAATAGGTAACCCCTATGTCCAAGAAGAAGGAGATGGACTTACCCGCTACCTGGAGCATGACCCTGTGCTCAGCGAGGGTGATTGGGGTCCCCGAGTCAAGGCATTGTCAATCTTCTGCCAGTCCGAGAAAGTCAGGGATCTGGATAGCTGGTGGGGCTGATGCTCCATGAGGAGCCATAGGTGGTAAGCCCTGTCCAGGACAATCTGATACCCAGTGACCCACCTGTTTGCACTTTGGGCAGGGCTTAGTTGGAGGTCTTGGGTTAGGACACTGGTGAGCCCAGTGGCCTTCCTTGCTACATTTGAAGCAGGCCCCCGGAGGAGCTGATGGGAGGTTTCTGGTTCCTCCTTTGACTCAGGGCTGTAACCCAGCTGGCCGCAGAGCTGCCACCAAGGCTTGGTTTGGAGGGCCACCTTTTGTTGGAGGTGTTTTTGGCGGGTAGATTCTGCTGCCTCCTCTTGGGTATTAAAAACTTTAAATGTCATTTTCACTAAGTCCTGTATAAGGGTTTGAGGGCCATCCTTGGCCTTCTTTAGTTTTGTTCTGATATCTGGTGTAGACTGAGATATAAAATGTCCAGCCAGAATTGCTGCCCCAGCAGGGGAGGTAAAGTCTAGTCAGGTATATTGGGTCAGAGCCTCCTGGAGGTGGTTAAGAAAGAGGGCTGGGTTTTCATTGGCCCCTTAGGTGACCTCGTGGAGTTTGTCAAAATTTACAATTTTGTTGGACACTGTGTCCATGCCCTGTAGGAGGCATCAAATCATTATGTCTCTCCTGCAATGGCCCGGAGCCCCGGGTTGGTAGTCCCAGTTAGGGTCGTGATTGGGAATTGTGTCTTCCTCAATGGGGACTGTAGGGTCAGCCAAATGGGTTTCATCAGCATAATGTCAGGCAGCCACCTTAATGTGTTACTACTCTTCAAGGGTGAGGGTGGTATAAGCAGAGGGGGTGGCGGAGAAGGACCCTAGGCACTTTTCTATTTGTGAAGGTCCTGGAGGGAGAAAGGAACATGGACCTGGACCAGTTCTTCTGCTTCCACCACCTCTCAGAGAGGACAAAGGAGAGCAGGTGGGGAGGGGCTGTGTGAGTGGGTGTGGGAGGCTATTGGAGAGGTTGGAGGGGAAGGAGTGGGTGGAGCAGAGGGAGCAGGAGGCAAGGCCAAAGAAGGTGGCTGTTTGGGTGGGGAGGGTTCTGTGGGTGAAGGAGGAGGAGGGGAAGCCAGGTGGGGTGATGGGGGTGGTTGTGGTTGTCAGGGAAGGGAGGCAAGGAATTCAGTGGACTTGGACAGAGGAGAAGGGTCAGGGTGGGGGGAGGGGATCCAGAGGAGTTGGGTGTTTGAGCGAGAAGGATCTGGGAAGGGGAACATTGGAGGCAAAGAGAGGGACAAGAGCGCAGTTCCCAAAAGGGCCTGCACATATGGAACCTCAGACCATCTATGGGTTCGGCAGCAAAAATTGTCAAGATAAGTGAGAATATTAAAATCAAAAGTGTCCTGTGGAGGCCATTTTGAGTTGTTGTCTAAGGTGTATTGTGGCCATGCCGTGGTGCAGTAGAAAATGAGCCGCTTGTGGCGGAGGTCTGGAGAGAGTCCCAAATTTTGGAATTTGAGAGGAGACAGGACAAGGGAGTCCCTGAGTTCGGCTTGGATTGAGAGGACCCCATTCCCGAATTGTCGGAGAGTCTCAACCTTTAGGGAAGCATCCCTCACTAAAAGAGGAGACCCGGTTTGGAGGAGGTGGCCTGGACAGGGGAGACATCTCTCTGGGTGCCCAGGTGTGAGGAGAAACGGAAGGGCTGATCCTGGCGTGGCCACGACTAGGACAGGGGCCCGAGGAGGAACAAAATGAGGGGAGGAGACTCACCCAAGCCAGAGCTGGAGCATCCATCAGGAGAGGAGGAAGGGCCTCAAGCCAGGGCCTGGCCCAGGGCCCTGACTGCCTGGAGTCAGGTAAGGCGCACTTCCCCCCAGGTTTCAGCACCAAATGTTAGATCAATGCAGACAGAAAAGCCGAATCAGAGCCAAATAACAAAGCAAGCAGGCTTTAAGCAGATTTTTTGAGAACATGCTCTTGGGCAAGATTCACGTCCCCAAAGAACAGGGCCGGAGAAGTCGTACCTGAGAAATGGCAGCCCAGTTTTTATAACCTGGGTGAAGTCAAGAACTTTGGGTACTGTGGAATGTCGGGATAGGTTGAAGCCTAGTGAGGGGAGGGGGCTCAGGGTAATGTGGACCTATAGGATAGGTCAGGACCTATTTTCCACCAGCAGGAGTTGCCGTGGCAACCATAGGAGGAGGAGGGGAGAGGAGGGTGATTGCTCTCCTGCAGGAGTTGCTATGGAATCAGAGGGGGAAGAGGAGAGGGGGAGGGTGAAGTGGAAAGTCCCTGATAGCCATACGGTGGCTGCCCACTGGCCAAACACACTAAAAGAAATCATCTCTAGAGTGAGAACGATGTTATCAACATTTAGAGCTAGAATATTTATTGAGGAATTCTCAGTCCCAGGTCCATTTGGCCCCCTTAGGAGGGGGTGGGTCTTTGTCTTGTTAAGTCAGGGAGTTATCTATATAGAACTCCCAGCCCCAGGCCATGGCTAAGGTTTAGAGTGTGCCTTGCCTTTGTTTGAGTAAAGAAAGGATTAACTGTAGGTGTGTGGCTCACTTCAAAGCATCTGATGATATCCCCTGGCACTGATTGGCAACTTTTACCTTAGCAGGGATTGAGCACCTGTGGATTTGGGAAGTTTAATTATAAATGAATTTCTTTCTCTTGTGGCCACTGCTGATGTCTAACTGCTACAGTGATTACAGAGCAAAACCCAGATTTCCCTACATTCTGTGGCGTCTAAATTCTTTCAATTCTGCTGTGCGCATGTCAGAGAATCAGAAGGTAGAAATGAGAAGCTTGGGTCAGTGCCAAATAGAGACTGGGGCAAAAGACCTCTCACTGTCATGATCAACTATAGTAGAGATACCACCCATGGTTCCTGAGCATCATATGTATGTAGAGGCAGTGATGGGAGGCATTTTTACAATCACAGCACTACAGAGTAATTGAGACTTTCTACAAATTCCACTGTTCTTGTTTCTGGTCCTTTTGGAATTCTGTAAAGTACAAACTACTCTAAAATAATTATCTCATTCTAAAAAGCAAGCATTCATTCTCTTTGCTGTAGATAAAATTTCAGTATACTTTTTCAATATAATTGCTCCAATAAACTGACAGTTTGTGAGTGATTAGACATTTGTCCTAATGCACAAGACACCATTTCAGAGTTATCTGAGAAACTTTTAAAAAATGGCCATGGTTTATCCTTTTTCCAAACTTCACCTCAGCACTTGATAATGGTCTCTGGTATAGCACAGCCTCCACTGATGTGACAGTCCTATAATTAATTACCACTAACTGAAGTCAGTAGTCTAAATCGGAAATGTATTACTTAGAGCTTGTGAAGCATAAGGAGCCTCAGTCTGTTTAGACAGATTCCCTAGGGTAAACATTAGTATTCTGTATGTTTACTAGATTACTCAGGTGACTGTAATACTGCCATCTGAGACTATTTCAAGGCCTGGTGTTTATAAGCTCCTCCTGCAGAGGATAAATTACTTATTAATGGGATTTAATGTGCATTCATGTAAACAAACTTTATTTCTTTCCCTGAGAAAATCAGTGGATTACTTAAACAAGGGAAAGCTATAGAAATCATGTTTGGACCTCAAAAATTATCTACAAAGGTCTCTCATGATGCCTTTGTGAGTAAGGTTTTGACTAAGGATGAACAGAGTCAGTGAGGTACACTATGTATTGGTGCAGTGGCTACACAATGATTTCCTTCTAGCTGAAAGAAAATTCTGTCTGTGAAATGCTAGGATAATTTCATTTTATTACATTCAAAGTTTAATTCACCTCTTCTGTTATATGTCTATTGTGGGCTTCCCCAGGATCTTGATTGCCAACCTACTCAGTCATGGATTGAAGGTGAAAGAATATCTAGTCTGGAAGACCTCTGGATGAGTTTTCGGTATAGCAAGTTGTTTACTGGACAGAGGAGATTTAAGTTGTTTAAATCTTCCTTTCATTAATTATAGAAAGTCATATATTCATGATTAACATTGAGGAGCTACCACAAGCCTTGACATAGAACTTCTCAAGACTCTGAGTTTTGGGTAGCCTGTACACTCAAATCCAAAGCCTTCATCCACTTCTCCCACTACACTTTCCATTTCACCATCCACAGGCTGAGCAGCATCTTCAAATAAGCACAGGGTTGAGAGTCAGCCTTATTCAATCTCCACCCCATGATATCTCTGACTCATATTATCTATTTATATCAAATAGGTAGATCATGTCTACATTTCATCTTTATTCATTAAAATAGGTAGTTATTGTTAGGTCTCAGTTTGTGTGACCAGTGCATGGGGTGTGACAGATTTCTCAAAACTAGCAGGAATTCAGGCAAAAGCAAAGTTTTCTTTGCTTTCCAAGAGAGGAAAGGGACCAGATACTAGGAGTGGTATCAGTTCCAAATGATGTGGGCTGTGTTTATAAACATTTAAGATGTAGAAGGAATGTACTGCTGCCAGTTTTTTGGTTTGTGTGTTTAGCTAGCTTTTCCAGGAAGCAGCTGGGGTGGTCAGTTTCTCAATGTTGTGCTACAGGTTTTTGGTTAGCTTGTGCAATCTTTTCTAGGACATCATGTGATCAGATTATGTTGTTGACAAGATGTAGGTGGGATTCCACTTGAGTTCAGAAAAGCAGTTTCAGCAAAAACAAAGTAAAATAGACAAAAGTAGTCCTTTACAAAATGGAGTAGGTTAGGATAACTTGAGTTGGGACATTTTAGTTATTATAATTTTATTATTATCCTCAGTTAACTTCTAAGTCCCCTATCCTAGCCAACTTGATCTAGTACATTGGATCAAATATGATGGTACAAAAAGAGTGAATAAGCCTCAATTTAGAAAGAGAATATTTTGGCAAATGGACTAAAGGAAAACTGTGCATGTATTCTTCTAGATCAATGCTTTACCTCATAGGTCTAACATTCGAATAAGACTGGGGAGAATTAAAAAAAAAAACAGATGTCCTGAATTGTCTCACAAGTCAAGTAAATCAGAATTTCTTGGCATGGGGCCAGACAACATAATTTTTTTAAACTCCACAAGTAATTCCAATGTGTAGCTAATGTTGAGAATCACTGTTCTAGTTCAATGGTTCTGACACTCATGTACATACGAGGATAATAAGTGGAGTGTTGTAAATTGGAGGTACCTGGCAGTCCCCATTCTGGACTGTGTGCAGTAAAACTACTTGGAGATAGGTTTTAGGTGAATATAAGGCACATTTTTAAAATAAAATGGCCCAGATTTAAACTTAGTTCTCAGTGTAGGCAACAATTAAGAAGAGAGACCACTTGACAAGGGCCTTCTAAGAAAATGTTCAAGAAGCCCTGAGAACTGGCCTTCTATCCTGGGGAAACTTGTCTA